CCAAGCAGAGAAACTACCCTGCATTTTTTTTACTTCTCCTGCCCTTTTTTATTTTGAAGTTTGGTATAAATATTTCTCATTTTTATTGCGATGAAATTTTTGAAAATTGACTTGCTATTTCTTCTTTTATTTTGTACCAAAGTCTCCTACCTAATTCACCACTTTGTGGGAGGATACTGAACTTTTTTTATAGGAAAGTAGATGATTTCATTAGATGATTTCCATTCATAGGAAAGTAGGTACATCCTGCATTTGAAGCCAATAATTTAATTGAACACAACGTGTCACAAACAATATCAAATAATGATAAAAATTAAAAATAATTTTATTAATTAATAGTAACATTGAGAGGACATAATGTAAAAAGAGAAGATATTAGACAGGAAAATGACTCAACTTCATTGATAATTGAGTAACAAAGAAATCAATAAAAGATTTGTTAAGAAACTAAAAGAATCAACTTGACAAATTTAATTTATTAAAAAGATGGAAAAAATGTTATAATTCCAAAAATAATACGTCTAGACCAAAAAATACAAAAGTATACAATAAAAAGGCCAGATCCTCATTATTTTCAATTTTTCAGGAAACTGAAAAAGTAAAGAAAAGAAAAGCACAACAGAAGGTGCAGACCGTGGTAACACAATGTTTCAAAACCAACACTAAAGAATTAGGATAAAAATTATAAATAATTATATTGATTAATAGTAGCAGTTACTAGATATAATGTACAAAAAATAAAATATTTGACAGGAAAATAATTAAATATCAGTGATAATAATTTCACACAAATATATACAGGAGTATACAAGTGTTAGTTAAAGAAATAAAAGATTTTTTACATAAGAAACCAAACAGAAAAAAACCGACACAATCAACTGGACAAATTTAAATTTATAAGAAAAAAAAATCTTTTTTATTCCAATCGAAAACCCACATCTAAATATTGTCAGAAAAATATAGAAATTAAAAGATATATATATATATATAATATATATATATATATAGAATTATATATATTTCCAGAACTTAAAAAACAAATATCCTATGTTTCTTTTGTTAGATGAAACACTAACTTAAAAAACTGACGAACTCAATCTGAAAAATTAAAATTTACAAAAAAAAAAAAAAAAATCGTTATTATTCCAGTGATATGATGTCTGGGTTGAAAGATACAGAAGCACACAAAAAAAAAAAAAAACCCACATCCTGTCCATAAAAAAGAAAAAGAAAACCCACATCCTAAATAATTTCAGGAAAAAAGAAAAGGAAAGAACACAATCAGCACCCTCAATATAGCCAGAATAATAAAGAAAAAGAAAGAAAGAAAGATATATTTATATTTATATTGGAATAAAGAAAAGCAATAAAAAGACTAACAAAACTCAACTGGACCGTGGTATTGACAAGCCATATATATACTAAATCTTGAAAGCAAGAAACAACAGCACACAATCCAAAAGCAAAATCCTCAATTTTTTTGTAAAAATAGAAAAGAGAAGAAAAGAAAAGAAACAGAGAAGAAAAAGAGAGAGCATAAGGAACACACCTTGGTATTGACAACTTCGGAGCATAGTCTCTAAACTGAAAAGGCTTTCTCGGTCGTTATCAACAGCAAGAACACGCAATCCTATCGGAAACATGTCTCCTATATCATCATTGTTATCATCATTCACCAGTGCCATTGTCTCCTTAGATACCACAAAGAGCAAGATGAATATTGACCGTTCCAGTAGTTATTATTCTGCCTTGTGCTTGTTTGATTGTTACTGCAAATATATATATAGGCTTGCCTTACCTCCGTTTTATTATCTCGGCGAATCTTTTATTTCCTTTTTCTTCATTCTTCCCATAAATATTTAGTATTACAATCAATATTTCTATAGATTTTTTTTATAGTTATTTAGCTACTAATTAAATTAATTATTTATAGTTATATATACTAATTTATATTAGCTTCAAATTTATTAAAATTTCCATTACCTAATGTGTATTTATAAAAAAAAAAATAATAATAATTGCGTGTGGATGGGATAGCTGAGAAATATATATTTTACTTTTTTCCTAAATTTTTTTATTTTAATTATGAAAAAAATGAGACAGGCTTGGGTTGAGAATAAATTAGCTATATAACTAATAAAATTAAAGAGACTAAATATTTAAAAAAAATTACCATTTAAAATTGATAATTATATATAAGTAATAATAAGTCTTTTTACAGTATATATATATAGGATATTGTGACAACCAAGTAAAGTTATAACCAATGTTACTACTAATCAATCTCACCGTTAGATTGGTAGTAGCGATCCGATGGTCCTCATTGAATTCTTAAAAGCCTCTCTGTCTTCGCTTCTCTCTCTCCCCCTTCCCTCTCTTCCCTTCTCTCTCTCTCACATACACTCTGCCGCCGCCGATCTTGCCCATAGCCTCCGTCGCGACGACGCCGCTGCCCATAACCTCCGTCCCGCCGTCGCCGCTGCATCCCGCAGAGAGCTTCGCTGAATACACGAGATAGGGTTCGATTTTTACCAGATTCGATTTTTTGAGCAGATCAATTATCGCGGTTCTAATTCGATTAATATTTGAATACAGATGATGAACCTTTATCGCGGAACATCTCTTTTGTGGTCTTACCAGCGAAGAATAGTTTGGTTTCTCCAATTCTGTTAAAAGGGGTTTTGTAATTGAACCCGAAAAGCTTAATTGTGATAACTAATTAACTTAAATTCTGTTTGCCAACTTTTAAATCTTTAGTTTCATTCTCAAAGATGCTTGGATCATAATAGACTTACAGCTTTTGCTTAGATATTTGATAAGAGTGTCAGAAAAACACAAAGGTATTTTAAAGTTTCTATAACATCTCCAGACTTACATTTGGCAATTAAAATGTAATGCATCTAAACATAAGATGGGTGTTGGGGTTATGAGAGTTGTGAGACAGCATCTGTTCTCAAATTCTGTAATTCTATTATGCTGCGACGGAGGCTATGGGCAAGATCGGCGGCGGCAGAGTGTATGTGAGAGAGAGAGAAAGGAAGAGAGAGAAGCGAAGACGGAGGGGATTTTAAGAATTCAATGACGACCGTCTGATCGCTACTACCAATCTAATAGTGAGATTGATTGGTAGTAACATTGGTTGTAACTTTACTTGGTTGTCACAATATCCTATCCTACCACATATATATATATATATCTGTGTGTGTGTGTGTGTGTGTGATGTAGGATCCTTTGACACCAGTGTCAAATTTGAAATTTGACACATCATCTGAGAGCCGTTAGATCAAAAAAAATCAATGACTCTGATTTGTAAGCATGTGACACCATTAATCTTTTTTGATCTAATAGCTCTCAGATGAGTCAAAGGATCCTACCTCATATATATATATATATATATATATATATATATATATATATATATATATATTGATTTATCTTTTATCATGTCACATGACATAAAGTTATGTCATATAGATAGATAGGGGTATGATATTCTTACACCGGTATAGATAGATTGATGGAACCTTCGAAAGAGGTTCTTCAATAGCAAATATGACACAGGTTCAGGATCAAGTTTGTTGGGAAAAAAAAGGGACATGACCATCCAATATCTTCTACTTATAATATATGTTCGGTGGTGATCAAAGAATGCTTTTTCCCTTTACATTTAATTTTTTATTTTTTTTGGAAAATAACATTTAATGTTATTTCAGTTCACAGTAAGTCTCCCACCAACCTCAGAATTCTTATCTAAGCTAAAATGTCGACATGAAACTAAGCAAGGAAAGAGTAAAACTTACTTTATGAAATATTGACAATAAGATAATAGTTGGTGGTGCCACGCTATTGAGGCAGAACCTATTATAAGACCTGCAACTTACAACAGCTTTGTTCACAGAAGCACCTATGGAAAGAAGCACCTACTTAATATGTTTATGATGAAACAGGTCCTAAACATTATGTGAATCACCTACTTAATATCCTTCAAAAATATATAGGACCTGTTTAGCACCTCTCAAATCTGCCAAGTAGTACACAACAGAGTAGTGAATCACCAGCTACATAACATCAACATCAACTTTATCCCAAATTAATTGGGGTCGATGGTAAATGAACCCACATGAAAGATACAAAACGGTTGAAAAATAAAATAAAATTAAAAATTAAAAAAAAAATAAAAAATAAAATAATATATATAAATAAATAAAAGTAAAAAAAGAAAGGGACAAGGAAAATTGGGGGAGATAAAGGGGAAAAGGACTAAAATCACCAGCTACATAAATGGGTAAGAATTGATCTTTAAAGTCTCCAAGGCTGTGGAAAAAAAAAACTGAAATTTGTGTAGCTAATATTCCGTACTTGTGGCCTCAAACAGCTCTATCACATAATCCCCCATAGGTGCTATTTTAGTGCTAAACCAAGTAAGAATATTCGATGGACAAGTTCTAACCATATGGATATGCATTTCTCATAAAATGATAAGTCAATGCCAGTAAAAGCCTAAAATAATGCTAAACAGTACATACCAAGCCTAAAATATGAGCAGACCCCAGAAGCAGCAAAAACGCAAAAAGGAGAAAGATGAGTACCTTCCTCGGGTACCAATTCTGAGCAGTGCCCACAATAGTAGCGAAAGAACTGGAATTCATGGATAAATTCATGCCTTTACAGCTCTACCTATTCTGGTCTGATTATGGTGAATACGGAAGAGTTGCACCGTAAGCAATTTGATTTTTAAATAAGGACCAAAACGACACCGTTTAATTGCACAGGAGACACTCTTCTCTAAAGTCACAGCAGACACTTTAATCCCTATATATATATATATATATATATATATATATATATTGATTTATCTTTTATCATGTCACATGACATAAAGTTATGTCATGTCGTCACCCCAGAACTATATTGTTTTGGAAGTTAGGGAAATTAATGAAGGATGTTTTGGTAAAATTCATATAATAAATAAACAAACAAAAACACCAAAACACCCTTCATTAATTCTTCTAACTCGCAAAACGATGTAGTTTTGGGATGACATAAAATAACTTTATGTCATATGACAAGATAAACCCAATAAAGTAATTAGTGATATGATTCTTCCCTGATTTATGAGAATCAAATAGGATTAGTTCCCATGATTAAATAAGATGGATTTTATAATTATTTAGCCTTCCTTTTATCTGTATATACTGTAATCTAACATATTTGATAAATCAATAAAATAAAGCATTCTTCTAGATATCACTTGAATTTCACTGTTGTTAGTTGATTACCTTCATTTTAAAAAGTGATTTCTCAGAACCCCATTGCTTGCAGCAGTTTATCTTGAATTAAGTTAAAAGGTTTTTTTTACATGTACCCCATTGCAGCAGTTGCAACATAAAGCAATGCTTCTCATGATTATAAACAAAGTGCCTTATCAAAGCTGTTGAAAATATAGAGTGAAAGAGAAAAAATAAAAAGTGTGCGTGTGTCTGTGTGTATGAGAGAAAGAGGGTCACATAAATTGTGAATACAACAGCAACGGCCATTATGGTTATCCCCAAGTGATCAGAAAAATCATCGAATAGTTTTCTGGCAACAAGGACACAGAAAACTGCAATAGGAGCAATGATAAGAAAAACTGTCAGGATCAACGATCTTACATCTGGACCAAATATGAACCTTCCCTGAAGAAAAAGTTTCTGCAGGAAAGGGACGAAAAAATTAATGTGTCTACATTATTACAAAATCACTAGAAGAACAACATATTTCAAATAAAATTGCAACAACAGTCATTAACATATTTCTATTCTTTATAAATTCTGTGGAAAAAACAAATTATGAAAAGAAAATATGAGATATAAATTCGGAAAACACTTTTAACTCACAACATAAAGAATTTGCCAAAATAATTTATATGTCAGTCAGTATTGTCAAAATCAGTGACAAGGGTTCAGCCTAAATTCAATATATCATCTTGAGAAAATAACTAGCAATTACTTCTTACTTCCCGACTAAATCGTTTAGAAAATGTTAAGATTTATCGAGTGACTCTGCAAAGTCAAGAACCAGTTACAACAATATTTAGGTAACTTACTTTATTTATGCTGCTATGTATTTAATACAAAGGTTCAATGTCCAGATATTACAACATAGAAAATGCCAGCTTAACAGCAAAACACATACAAATCAGCTAATTCAAATTTAATTTCTGTTCAAAGAATTTCACATATTAAGCCCCAGCAATTCTCTTTACTAATGCAACCTGACAAAGGAAACTGGTATTCAGATTGCTTCATTATAGTTAAATTACTCAAAGATAGCAGGATTTCTTACAGTATATTCAGAGCAAATGAGAAGAAAGGAATACTTGCATTTCATAAAATCTGATACAAGAATACAGTGAAACTTGATACAGCAGAGCCAACTAAAGAAAAGGGAAAGTAACCATTTACTAACCACAAACTAACTCAGAACATTAACTATGGTAAAAACAAAACAAAATACTAACTCACTAGTGAGGTTAACTAAATACAGACCCCAAATAAACTAACACTTATTACTCGCCCTCGAGATGAACAGTGGATATCTAACACTGTCATCTTGGACAGCAAAGAAATCAGAGTAGTGGAAGGCAAAGCCTTTGTAAACATGTCTGCCAATTGATCTTGGGACTTGATTGGCATCAATCGGATCCTTCCAGAAGTGACCTGATCTCTAACAAAATGGCAATCAATTTCTATGTGTTTTATCCTCTCATGGAAAGTTGGATTTGAGGCAATATGCATGGCTGCCTCATTGTCACAAAAGAGTAAGGCAGGAGATGAAATGGACAGCCCAAGATCAGAGAGTAGTGGTGAAATCCAAACTAGTTCAGCAGCAGTAGCGGCTCTATATTCAGCCTCGGCTGAGCTTCTAGCAATGGTAGTTTGTTTCTTGGCTTTCCAAGAGATTAAGGAATCTCCAAGAAAGACACAGAAACCAGTCACAGATTTCCTCGAGTCATGACATCACTAAAAGCCTTTAGTTGCAGTGAAGAAGAAGAAGGAAACAACAAACCTTGGCCAGGATGACTCTTAAGATATCTAAGAAGGTGATGAGCAGCTTGAAAATGAGGTGTCCGCAACTGTGAAATAAACTGACTTAACCTATAAACAACATAGGTCATGTCAGGCCTTGAAAAGGTTAAGTATAAAAGTTTTCCAATTAAGGTTCGATACTGAGAACAGTTTTGAAGCCAAACGACCTGTATCTTCAAGAAGCTGAAGTGTATAATGTCTTTGGGACAACACAACTCCCTTCTTGGCTCTAGCAATCTCTAAGCCCAAAAAATACTTGAGATTGCCTAGATCTTTAAGTTTGAACTGAGAATGAAGAAAAGACTTAACACCCTCAACTAATGCAGGAGATGGACTGGTTAGGATAATATCATCCACATATAACATAAGTATTATTAAGGAGGAACCCGAGCCTTTGGTGAAGAGTGAGTAATCAGATTTTGATTGCTTAAATCCATGAGCAATCAGAGCTCCAGACAGTTTTGAGTACCATTGTTTTGAGTACCATTGTCTGGAAGCCTGTTTTAGCCCATAAAGAGCCTTATGTAACTTGCACACAGGCTTAGATCCTTTTGAGAAAGATACCAATTTTGTGAGGAAGCAATAGCCAGCAAAGTTTTGACTGTAACTAATTTTGCCACGGGAGAAAAGGTCTATGAAGTCTATGCCTTCTTGTTGGGTAAATCCTTTGGCTACTATCCTGGCTTTATATCTCTCCACAGTTCCATTAGAGTTGAACTTTATCTTGTAAATCTACCTACATCAAATAGCATGTTTTCCTTTAGGCAAAGGAACAATTGACCACGTTTTGTTACTTTCAAAAGCTGAAATTTCAGCTTGCATGGCTTCACGCCAGTGGGGAAACTTCACTGCTTCATGAAAATATTGAGGCTCATAATGTGAAGAAACATTAAGCACAAAAGCTTTATAAGAAGGTAATAATCGTCATAGCATATAACAGAATTTAGAGGATATTGAACTGAAGAATCATTGCTAACAGAATTTGTTAAAAAATTACAATGGTAATCCTTGAGATAGGAAGGAAGTTTGGAAGGCCTTGTTGAACGCCTCACTGAAATGTGTGTAGGTTCAGGTTGACTTGATGTGTCTGCAGTTAGAGACTAAGTGTTAAGCATAACATCAGTCCCAGAACTGCCCTGAGGAAGTGCAGACTTAGAATTAATGAACTCATGTGCAGAATTAAGAACATCCTGAATGATTGGAGATGATGGAAGATCAGATGACTGCAAAGATTGACCAGAATTAAAAGAAATGTTATTTGCAGAGTATGTGATACTTTTATGGGGTAAAACAAGATATGGAAAAGGATCAAAGTCAGTGTGCACAGCTCCATGTTGATAGGGAAATACATCTTCATGAAAAACAACATCTCTAGATATAAACACTTGACCATTGTCCAAATCAAAGATTTTATATTCTTTCATTCCCGGAGGATATCCCAGGAATTTGCATCTGCGAGCTCTAGGTTGAAACTTGGTACTATGAGCTGATAAAGTGGAAGCAAAAGTCAAGCAATCAAACACTCGAAAGGAAGAATAATCTGCATCTTTCTCATATAACAAAGAATAAGGTGATTTGTAACCCAATACTGCGAAGTTGTTCTGTTGATGAGAAAAATAGCAGTTGAAATGCAATCAGACCAAAAATATATAGGAATCCTTGATTGAAAATATAAAGCTCTAAAAACATTGAGGATGTGCTGATGTTTTCTCTCTACAATTGAGTTCTGCTGAGGTGTTTCAACACATGCCAACTGATGAAGAATTCCTTGTTCTTGGCAGAATTCTATGAATGCCAATTCCTTGGCATTATCTGAGCAAATTTTCTTAATTTTCTTTCCAAGTTGAGTTTAAATAATATTAAAAATATGGGAAAAACAATAGTAGCCTCGCTCTTGGCTTTAATCAAGTAAAGCCAAGTGAATCTTGTACTGTCATCAACTAGAGTTAGAAAATAAAATGTCCAAAGTATGAAGCAGTATGCAATGGCCCCCAAATGTCAATGTGAATGAGATCAAATGGATGTTGAGACAAATTATTATGAGAAATAAAAGGAAGACGTCTCTGTCTAGCAAGAGGACATATAGAACAGGGAATTTTATTATTTTTGAAAAAATCAGAACATTGCAATGAGTTTTTCATGTGTGAAATACACTTGTGAGATAAATGGCTAACCTATTGTGCCAAGTATCAAATGAAACAGCATTTGTAGAATTGAAATATACAAAATTCAGATTACAAGTAGTATAAAAAATATAGAGACCTTCAACTCTATCACCCTTGCCAATCGTCTTCTTGTTCATGTCCTGAATGACAAATGATGTGGGAAAGAAAGTGAGGACAAATTGAGATGCAGTAGCTAAGGCACTCACAGACAATAGATTAAACCGAAATGAAGGAACAAATAAGACATCTATGAGAAGAATGCATGACGTGAGTTGAACATCACCAATTAGGTAAACATGAATTGTGGTTTTTTCAGGCAAAGTCACCCTAGACCCATTGGTAGGGCGCATAGACACAAAAGTTCGAGCATCAGCACATATGTGTTGTGAGGCTCCAGAATCTACTATCCATTTAGAGGATAAAAAAGTACCAAAGTTAGACACAACAGAATAAGGAGCCACGACAGCCTCTGGAATTTTGTTGGACGTTGCCATATGTTCAGACAAGAGATGCATTAGCTGTGAGCATTTGAGTGGATCCAGATCCTTCAGGAAATTCCCAACCAAAAGGCTGGTAGAGGCTTGATTAATTGCAACACTGTTGCTTTTAGGTCCAGTGTTCTTTGGCTTCACCTTATAGCCTGGAGGATAACCATGAAGCTTGTAGCACCTTTCGATGGTAAGACCATGTAGCTGGCAGTGAGTGAAAAAGGGTCGTTCCTTGCGAGAGCCTTTTATGGAGGAATCTGCTTTGACAGCAAAAGCCAAATTGTTGGTAGAGGAGGAAGACAGAGAATCCATTTGACGCTGTTTTCTTCTTGAGTCACGAGAGAAAAAACTTTGTTTATTGTAGGCAGAGGATCGCTGAGAAGAATTTGAGCCCTAATTTGAGAAAAAGACTCATGAAGACCCATGAGAAAAGACATAGCATACTCAGTCTGAAAATAAGCAACAAGGTTTCGAACACCACCACAAGTGCATTTCCCACAAGTGCATGAAGGACGAAAATTGCCAAGTTCTTTCCAAATGGACTTGGGCTTTGTAAAATATGCACTCACCGAAGCCTGATCTTGGGTGAGGTTTGTTAACTCCCAATGCAATTGGAAGATTCTTGGACCAGTACTCTGTTGAAAGCGGTCCTGAAGATCAACCCAGATGTCATGCGCAGATGTAGAATAGAGAATGCTCCCATAAATCTCCTTGGATACTGAATTTAAGATTCCAAGAAATGACCATGTCGTTGTTACGGGTCCAACTACGTTTGAGGACTGGGTCTGTGTCACCAGGTGGAAAAATGGAGCCATCGATGAACCCTAATTTATTCTTGACAGAAAGGGCAATTTTCATGGCTCTACTCCATGAGTTGTAATTGTCCCTGTCAAAGATTGGGAAACAAGAACCAGGCCAGGATTATTCGAGTGGTGAAGGAAAAATGGACTCGCGGGATCTTCCATTTCTGGTCTTGCATGTGCAGAAGATGATGAATCATTGGTAACCGAAGCCATGAAACAAGGAAAGCAAAAAGAAATTCTCCAAATCAGAGAGACAAGCAGAAACTAGATATCAACTGATACCATCTTACAGCATATTCAGAGAAAATGAGAAGAAAGGAATACTTGCATTTCATAAAATCTGATACAAGAATACAGTGAAACTCGATACAGCAGAGCCAACTAAAGAAAAGGGAAAGTAACCAGTTACTAACCAAAAACTAACTCAGAACATTAGCTATGGTAAAAACAAAATAAAATACTAAGTCACTGGTGAGATTAACTAAATACAGACCCCAAATAAACTAACATTTATTAGGATTTCTGTTTTTCCCAGCATATTTGAGGAAACATGAAAGTATTGAAGTTGTGGGGAATTATATATACTTCATCAGCTATATCAAAGAGAGCCCAAAAAGCAACAAAAAATGTTAGTGTAAATTCGTACTCGAAACAAACCACCTTAAAGACGTGAATCCTCATTAATCAAATCAAGGGGTATAATTTTCACCACCTCCAGTCATTTTCATTTTCCATGTAGCTTTCCCCTTAAGATAAAACTGAATTCCACAACAAATTGAAAGGAAAGACATTAAACAATAACAACCGCTGCTCTTTAAATCCCGACTAACTAAGGTGAGGAAAATACTTTATATGCAGCTTTACTATTACATATTTTTAAAACAGACTGTGACTGATTAGAGAATTAGCTAGAACAGAATGGTAGGCAAACCCCATAACAAATTGATAAGCAAAAGCAAATTAAAAATAATAAATAAATCGAAAGAAATAAAATCCAGAACCAGAACCAGAACTCACATTGCTACACTTCCACGCTTGGTGAACCCGCAAATCACCGGATCCTGAACCCGGATCCGGTCGCTGAGGTGAAGGTACGACGTACATATCGAATTGCTGCTACAGAAACAAAATAACAATCTCTCTCAGTTCAAAACAAAAAAGGAAGAGCTCTAAAGCACTCTAATGTTTTTAGAAGGTGAACAACAGTCTAAAAAGGAGTGGAGTTTATCTTTACCTTGCTTGTAAGCAATATTATTAAAATGGGTACGGTGATTGACTCAGTCGAGCTAACTACCGATTGGTTCAATTAGTGGATAATTGGTTAAATTCCATGACTCGATAATAATTATAAAGCAATTTTATAATTTATATTAAACAATTATAAATATACTTAAATATTTAAAAAATTATAAAAATTTCAAATATTTTAATATAAAAATAATAAATTACATGTTATTATCGAATAAAAAATCAAACAAAAATATAATGATCGTGATACGAGGCTTTAGGTTCAGAAAACGATATCTCTAACTATAATTGAGATAATATTAATGTTGTAAGTATATAACTTATGTAAGTCAATAAGCAAAAAAATATTCAAATATGTTCATTATGATTTTCTTTGAAAAAAAAATTTAATTTTTTTTTTTGGACCGGGCCAGATCACCGGTTAATCGATCTGGTCACCGATTTTTATGAAAATCGGTCGGGTTAGATCGGGTCACACCGGTTCTGATGCATAACCGATCTGTTGCTTCAATCGGACCGATTATATGACCGATTTACCAGTTCCCGGGTCGACCCGACCGGATCTGATTTTAATGACACTGCTTTGACGTTTAACAACAAATAGTACATAATTTATTACATGCTCCTTTATTCAGTGAAAAGAAGAAGGTAATGAATATAATAAATCTAAACTTTTATATTTTCTAAATATTTTTATTGTATTTTCAGCTTTCATTTTTTATCAACTAATTTAAAAAAAAAATACATTCTTTTTGTTGTTTCTATGTAAATACCTTCCCAATCCTTTGTAGAAGTGCTACTAATTTATCAGGAGTTTTTTTTTTCAATTTTTTTGTTAATATTAACTTTGTTTCACACTTTAACCTTTGGATTTTGTTTTGTCAATTCAGTGGAAGGTTTGTTACAACTGAAGTTGGCATTTGAAGTGCTTGTGTACTGGAGTGGAGTGGAGACCCTTGTCTACCATATCCGTATAATTGGAATTGGATACAATGCACCACTGATGTCACACCTCGTGTTATAGCATTGTAAGTTAATACAATTTTTTCATGTATGATTTGTTCTTCAATTAGTGGCGATTTCATTATATTCCAGGATTTGCCTTGACTAGAGACTAGTTTTAATTTTGAGAATTGCATCTTCTAGGAAAAATGGAAAGGCTCAAACTTAAAATTGAATTAATTGGGCCCAAACTTCGAACATAATAAAAAAAATGTGACTTCCTTTAAATAAAGTTTGGAAACGTATATGTAATAGCTACTAATTTTGCAATATATATGTGACAAAAAAAAAGGTATCTTAATTGTTATGAGCTGCAAGGCATACTTCTGGATTTCAGTTCCATACTTCCATGAATGCACTTGAAATGAAGGTATCTAATATATAGTTTCTGCCTCTCAATGATTCTCCAAGTAACTGTTGGAATTTATGTTGATAATTCATTGATTATGAATAAGAAGTGAGATAATAAAGAAAAGAGAAAAGGGAAGTTGAAGTGGTGTATGGGTAGGGGTGGTAAATGAGCCAGGGCCTTTGGCTCGGCTCGTAAAGGCCTGAGGTCGTGTTGGAACCAGACTTGGACATGTATAAAAGCTCGTTTAATAAAAAGGTCTCAGGCTCTAATTCAGAAGCTCGACCTTAGAGCCTCCCAGGCTAGCCTAGTATATAAATATTTATTTATACTTTTTATACTACTTGAATAACTCTCTCTCATCAATTTATTTCACCCCATTTTATTGGTTTAACAGACTTTTTGAATGATTTTGTTCTATATTATGCTATTTGGATATATATTGAATTTATGTATATTTATGGAATTACTAGTGTTGTTCTATATTATCCTTCATCCTCCTTCACACAAACAAACCCACAAAAACTCATTCGTTCCACTGTGCACGGCTCGTTTGTGTCAATTTATTTATTTTATTTTTGTTTTTGTTGGCACTTTTTTTATAATGGGCTAAGATAATATAAACTGTTATCTACCTTCTCTCACTTTAATTTTTATTTATTTATTGTAGACTTTGTAAATTATTGCTGCAAATTGGAAGCTAAGGTTTCTATCTGGAAATTGATTTTTTGGAGAATTCTGTTCTCTTATTTTTATTCTTTAACATGCTAACAGGCTAAGACAGGCTTCACACAGGCTTTTATTTTTTGTAAATAAACCAGGCCACATGCCAATATTATATTCGTAACAGGTAACAGGCTAAGGCCAGTCGGACACGTTTAAATACAGACTTGGCCCGTTAAGATCAAAGCTCGGCTCGGCTCGGCCCGTTAACACCCCTATGTATGGGTTTTTAACAAATTCCATATTGGACAACTAGTAGGAAGTGTGAGAGTTTATAAGCTCCCACCTCACTCTCCTAGATTGGCTCTTGGGTCACTACACATTTTGTGAAGGGAGAGGAGCTAGGTGGGCTTTGGTCCACCACACGCGTGCCGCTGTCCGGCCGAATCGGTGTAAAAAAAATAATATTTTATTAAATAATTTTTTAATTTTTTGTTCAAAAAATGTATCCGTTGCTTTCCTCCAATTTTCAAACCCAAACGTTTCTACCCGCCGGTCAGTATCTATTAATAGACATTGACACCTTTAGAAATTTATCGATTTTTTCTGCACTGAAACTCTGTCGGATTTTTTTTACCTCTTTCCGGTTTGCATATTATTGTTCATTCTCCAGTGTAATTTCCTCGGGCTTTTTATTGTGTTCGTTTGGGCTGTTGACCGGTAGTGCCACCACTCTTCATACCAAATCCGTTCTATCCTGGAAGACAAGTGTCCATCTACCTTAGGCATCAGTGATGAGACAAATTGTTTTAAGGAGATACGTTCTGTGGGCTCGAATTTTATCCTTCTGATTCTGCATATCTGATTTATCGTTCTGTCTGTTTCATCATCTGACATCAAATAAGTCATCTGTTTTAATTTTTCATAATTGCACAATGATAATTCTGATCATCTATCTCTTCTAATTTATACGTGGATTCAAACCTTTTAGTGATTTAATATCACATACTGTGTTGTCTTCAATAACAGTAACCAACCATCACCACCACCATCTGAAATTAGTTTCAGGCGATGAACCAAACAATCCACCAACACCGCCAGAACTTTATTTTGGGAGGTGGAAGCGTGAAGATTTACGAGCTAAACATATTATTCATAGTAGCTACGCAAACTATGCTAGCACTGCTTTTCATGAAATTTATATGAACTGGAAACTTATGTCTGATCTTTTACGATGATTATCATGAATCTTATCAAGCAAGCCTCGTACTGTGTGTCTTCTAATCTTTTCTCTCCACCCAACTTTTTTTTCTTGTTGTAAATTAGCATATGTATTTAACTTGAATTATTCTATAATGTTGTGTGTGAAAGTTATGGTCACCTTAAATTGTGTCAACAATTCGATTTGACTTGTAATTTGTAATGTTTGATCCTGTGACCTTGGCCTCCAAGATCATTTGTAATGTTTGTTGAATAATTATCCGATCCTATATATTTTGAAGTGTTCATATAAGCATTTGGTCACAAGTATTTTATAAAAATTTTACATGTTAGAGATATTCTGTTTTAAACACCAGGTTTTTTATGTTATGCTATATTAAAACATGGATTTAAAGTTTTTCTTTTTGTTGTTGTTAGAGATAAAATTATTTCTCCTATACACATAAAAATATGTGAGTCCCAATTTTTTTTTTTCTTTATTCTCTTCACATAATTTCATATATATTTTTTTTGTATACTATAATGACCCTAAATGGTAAATCTTAATTAGAGATTTAATTTAAGGATTTAAATGCCATAATTAGATTTAGTGTGTGATTCCGAGTATTTTGACTGTAATCATGACTATGTTATGAACAGTGCGTTCTGCCGGAGAATTTACAGTTTTGTGAATTAACCGGTAGAGCTTAAAAAGAGCAAAATAATTTTAGAGGCATAATTTGATAATTCTGACGACAAATATGAGTTCAGAACGAAAAATTGTATAGTCTGGCACTTTCCGTAAAAATCTCGTGAATAGTGTTTCTACCGGGTATTTTGTACTGCTGTTTAAGCAACCGGTAGAGTCCAGAAATAAATAATTGATGAAATAAGAATAAGAAAGTCCAATATATGCCAAGCAAGTCAATATAGGCCCAAGAAAATGATAAGTTTATAAGTGTTAAGTTTCAAAAGTAAATAAAGTACAGTTAGTGATTCACAGTGCATTCCGTCAAAAACGGTGCAGAAACCATACTGTGAATTATGAATATTGTTTTGTAACAAATAAAAATTTATGTAAATGATTTTAGAAAAATAAAAATATGTTCCTAGCTTGAAGTTAGTTCCGGGTCAATTTAAGTTAAAATACGCGATAGAAAAACATCCGATGAAAGGGGCCACATGTGCCTATATAGCCTTGTCACTTAAATGAAACACTATTCATTTCAGATTTTCTTCTTCTCTCTCATGCATGGCCGAGCTGCACTTGGAGGAGAAGGGGCTAGGGTTCCAAATTTCCTTTCTTTGATTTCTTAATCATCCATTCTCCAAATTCAAAGACCCACCACATGAAATTGATTGGAAACCACTCAATGAATCCATTCCACCAATCAATTTGAGCTATAGTTGAGTGTGTGAGGAGTTTTTCCTTCCCCCATTTTCGAGCTACTATTCATCAAGGATGAGAAATGACATTTTTGGTGGAGCTTTGCTTGGTGAAGGCCTTCTAGGCTTTGGGTAGTTCATTGGAGGTAACAAAACTCTAACCTTATGGCTTTATTAGTGTGAATAATGTTTTGAAAGTCATGAGCATGGTTGGGTAGGAAATAAAGTAGTATAGAATGTGAAAATTATGATGGATTATTGTTATTTAGGAAGTTATAGTGTTGAGTAAGTATCCACATGTGATAAAATAATTGAAAAGCCCTATTGTATTTCCCCCCTAGGTTTCGGCCTTC